CAAATCTCTTAAAATCTTCACTATAGCCTTATAGTAAAGTTGAGGTCTAGGACATAGAGTTCGTTATAACAAGAGTTGACTGTATACCTTATACTCCAGCTTTTACCATTACTTTTGATAATAATGAGACAGTCTCGCTGATAAATGAAACTAAAAAATATAATACAACCAAGTTTATAGAATATTTGCAAGGGTAGAACTTAAGACTTAGTAAAATGACTATCAAAATTTTAGAGAAGGAAGAGCTTAATAGCGGAAACTTCTTTGATATGACTGAAAAAAAGTATATGTAAGATGGTTTAGCAAGAGGACCTGCTATGAGACTCGTGAAATTAGTTAAGGAGTATAAGAATAAGAAGTTGAGAGTCTTTTTAATATACCATAGTTTAAAAGAAATTCTGGCAAAATATGACATTAAATCTAATGATACAAATACCATCCCACTTTTTTTACTACAACCTCCTAAGATTCAAGATTTCAACAGGCACTTAGGACATTGTGGAAAATATTTTGTTCAGGATAAAGCATTATGGATCTTTGGTTGTGAATAGCTTAAAATCTATATGTAATGAATATGTTTCAACCATACTTCATATAGTCCTCTATATCGTAGAAGATGAAATAAGTAAGGAATTTAACATAAGGGCTTAAATTTGAAATAATTGGAAAAAAGAGTTCTAACCATATCAATTATATAATAACGGTATATGAGTTTTTTCTTGGCATTTTTCGTTCATATTTTTTGAATATGAACTAATACTATACCTGCCTTCTAAGAATTAGAGAATCTTATTTATATCACTGAAGATAAGGTCTAACATAATATTCTCGAAAATTAAGCAGCACCAATTTGATTTTCTGTATTATATTTCTCCTTCCCTTCAATTTTTTAAAATTTCACAAAAATAAATATATTTACCAATAAAATTGCAAGATACAGATTATGTGATTAATCGATTCAATCAACATATCTACCATTTTTTTCAACGATATTTTTATGAACGAATATATACTTTATTATTTTTTTTAACAATTTTTTTCGTTGAATATATTAAAATGATATTACATCCTCTTTTTTCTCATTTTTCTCAAATTTTTGATATTTACGATAGTTTTCATTATATTTCAAGTATGTGAAGGTCTTAAAGTTTAATTTAACCAAAAATTAAAGAAGTAGATAAAGAAAAATTTTTTTTTTAAAATATTTGATTCAGTTACTTTAAATGCATATTTAGGAAAAACAGTTTTAATATCAGTTCAAGCCAACAATATAGATTCATGAAAGCTTGTAGAAGAAGGATTAGATACTTGGATAATGCTTATGAAGTTACTTAAATTTTCTCAAGTGAAATTTACGATTGTTTCTGAAGAAATAACTAATTTACAAACACCATCTTCTTCAAATTTACCAAATGCTTTCAAAAAACTTATGACTACTGAAGTCAAACTTTCTATTCAAAAAGAAGAAAGAATGTGTTTGAATTTACTTTATAATAAAATCATTTCACTTTTAGAGAGTAAAAAAGTGGGATAGATTCGTGATTCTCACCAAACTAATGAACAAAATTTTATTATGTGTTTAACCAAAGCAATTTGGTATATTGATCTACATTTAAACAAATGACATCTTCGAGAATGTCATTTACCAAAGATTTTTTGTGACTTACCAACCTACCAAAATAATGATATTTATAACAAATTTTATAATATATCTCATCACAAAAAAACTTCTTTTACTCAGAATGAACTTTTACAGCTTGCTTATTCAATTGAACCTTTATTTGAAGAACCTTGGGTTACTAATAATATGTGAAAAAATGTAACATCAGAAATTCTTGAATTATCTATAATAATGCGCAAATATTATGAATATTTACAAAAAACTAATAATAATATGAAATTATTACATCAAAATGATGTACCAGTAAGAATTCCTTCTGAAAATTGTGAAATATTTAGTATTAGTTTTTGTTTTATTGAAGAGTTTAAAGAAATATATGAATCTTTATACCAAAAAACTTCTTACTACTCCTTTATATAAATATATTGAATTTAATTCATTTGCATTATAGGATCTATTAAAAAAATTTTATTATATAAAAAATTTACAACTTCCTTTATATATTGGATTACAGTCAGAGATTTTACCAAATATAGAATTTCTAAATACAGTGTTGATTGATAAATGATCGACATTCTAGAAGTTCATAAAAATTCACCAATCATTCTAAAATTATAAATGATCGACAAACTGAAATAT